GGGAAGACCTTATTGTGTCAACCTCACTCCCATCAACTCACAACATTAGGTGGTGGGGTTAGGTGAACCATATCTTCACAGCCAAGATATCAGATTTTGGCCTTGCGAAAATGGGTCCAACACCTAGTAAATCCCACGTGACTACACAGGTGATGGGGACGCATGGTTATGCTGCTCCTGAGTACGTAGCCACAGGTAATTTGCACGGGAAGTATATTTAGCATTATGAAAAGATTAGTTGTTCATATTCTAACGTCGTTCTTAACTATATACGAGGACATTTGATGTGAAGAGCGACGTCTATGGTTTTGGTGTCGTGTTGATAGAATTGCTTACAGGGTTAAGAGTACTTGACGAAAATCGTCCAGATGGGAAAGATAATTTGGTTGAATGGGTGAAGCCACTTTTATTTGACAGAAGGAAGTTGAAGAACATAATGGATTCTCGTCTTGAAGGAAAATATCATTCAAGATCAGCAATACACATAGCTCAGCTTGCTCTATCATGTACTGAAAGTGAACCAAAAAACCGACCATCCATGCGAGAAATTGTTGAGATCCTCGAGCACATTGATTCTGTTCATGAGAAAAATAGAGATGTTATGGTAAATTCTGGGCATCGGGCATCTTCTCGGGCACAGAAATCTTTGCAATATCGTTCTCCAGTTCATCCAAGACGCGATCATTCTCCGATTCATCCACTACACACATTCTCCAATTCATCCAATGCAAAATCGTCCTCCAATTCATCGAAGGCATAATTGTTCTTCAATTCATCCAAGGCACGATGTAAATCAAGCCTACCCACTGCCACCTCTCACATAAGCTTTAGTTAGTGTAATTTTTTAGGGAAGATTTTTAGGCTGCTTTGTTCCAATCTCATGGCCCTCATAGCGCCTCTTCAGATGAAATGAGTTATTGTTGAGACACTGTAATCAGAGGTTATATATGAGAATATGCTTGTGAAAACTAGCAGTTTTGTGTACTTAAGAATTGTTCTTTTTACTCTGGCATATCTTATACTTTGATCAGAGATTACACAGTTAAGGATTGAGAGCCGTTGCTTCTTTTATTCCATGCTGAATCGACGACCTTTGTTTACGACACATCCATAAGAGTATTTAACATTTCTTTTGAAAATTCAAGAAAGCACGTGACAACTGGATTCAGACTACGATCTTTGGTTCATTTTTGTGCATTTTTCTTGTTGAAACCCTTTTTTGTGCTTTTACAAGTTACAATAGAACGCAATCAACATGAGAAGAAAGAAAAACCGTCTATTCCTTCTTTATATATTTAACTCTTTTTAAGTTTTATTGCCCTTAAAATAATAATTCTAGCTTCATCCCTGTAAAAGTCAATTTCCCTATAGAAGGTATTTGACTTTTACATGTTCAATTTTTTTGAGGTTAGGATTAGTCCTTCTCCTGTAATATTTTTCATTCGTTAGTAAACAACTGTACCTCCTAGTACGATTGATTTATCCCAAAAAAAAAATAATAATAATAATAAAATAAAAAATTGAAAGTTCAATAAGAAAAAAATAAGACGGGGTGGAGTGGGGGGTTTTGGGAAAAAGCCATTGGAATCTTTAATATTTGTTCAAGTAATAAATTCAATAAAAAATTATTATATAAATGTGAATATACAAAAAATTGTTTATGTTTGCTATAGATTTTCTAAAATTTATTTTTTTTTAAAAAAAAATCATTTTCAATTATACATTTTCTCAATAAAATTTTTTGTATGAGAACGATAAATATTCTCAAAACGTTTTTGGTAAACCGGCAAACCGCTAAATGGTTCGGTTCAAGTGATTCGAGTAATAAGTTATGCAATTAATCCATTACCAACCCGGCCAAGCCGTCCAATTTTCAAAACTCACCAGCCCAATTTAAATCGAACCATACGGGCCACTATTTTGCACGATGACAGATGAACGTTCTCTGTTAAACTGAAAACCCTTCCTTCAACCGTATCCATCTTTGTGCAAATCATCCAAGAATCCAAATCCAAAACATTCAATTTCAAGACAAATTAGATGGAAAAAGTACGTGTAAGTCTAGAATTTAAATTTTATTTTGGTGAATTTCGATTTTGCACCATTGAAATATGGGAAAAGATGTCATAAAAGTTGGAAGAACTAGACTGTGAAAGCTAGTCATTGAGGTCGGAAAACCCAAGTTTATATAAACTACACAAAGAAAACCCATACTTTCAATGTAGGATTTAGGTGCCCATAAACCCCAATGAGAACCATGACAAACAACCACGCTCTGACTTGTCGTCTACGTCAAGCAGGTGCCCATATACCTTAAGTGGTAATCGAGATCAAAGGCATGATACCTGCTCTGATACATTATCATAGAACTTAGAAGAGTCATACCCCAAAAGTTAGCCATTGAGATTAAAGAATCCAAGTTTATATAAACCACACAAAGAAAGTCCATACTTCCGATGTGGAATTCTGGTGTCCATACGTCCCAATGGGATCCATGACAAACCATCACGCTTGAGCAGGTGCTCATACACCTTAAGTGGCAACCGAGACCAAAAGACAGTCTTAGACGTAGGTCTTTCTTTCGAGAGGTCAGCTGATGCCTATTCTGATACCATCGTCATAAATTTGGAAGAGTCAGACCCCAAAAACTAGCCATTAATGTTGGAAAAGCCCGTACTTTTGATGTGAAATTTAGATGCCAATACACCCCAAAGTGAACCATGGCAAAAGACGAATCCTTTTGAGTTGGTACCCTTTCCTTTTTCTAATTTGATTTCATATTTCACCACAATTTCATCCCCTTGTTGTAAATTGTATCTTTGTTTCATATTATACACAATGATTGTATTTTCAATTCAATTACATGGGTGATCTCGGAAATCGATTTTTCTTTTAGCTTTATATTTCTGTGAATTTAGAGCAGATTTTTTGCCCTTAATACAGAGGTGATTAAACTATATGCTATGTCCGCTATTTGTTCTATTGAATATCCTTCTTTTGATTGTTTTCGGTTGCCACTGCGTTTTGTATTCTGTTAGCTTAATTTAATTGTT